ATAAAAGAACTGGGGTATAACAGTGTTGAGGGATTTTCAGGTTCTTTTTAAATTAAATTTAAATCACAAAGACTGGTTCAGATCTTATCTCACTAATAGAAGTTTTATTGTTAATATTGGTACCTGTTCATCCTCCAACTATCCTTTCCTGTGGTGTCTGCCAAGGATCTGTGCTTGGTCCCATTTTGTTCTCTTTGTACATGCTCCCGCTGGGCTCTTTAAGGAAATATGGCCTTTCTTTTTATTGTTATGCTGATGACATTCAGATTTACTTACCATTAAAAGCATCAACAGGGATGTCATTACAGCTGCTGTTTGACTATCTGACAGACTTGAAATCATGGTTGGCAGTGTTTAAATCTCAACGAAAATAAGACTGTGTTAGATCAGCTACTGACCTCAGTACTTTTAAATCATTGCTTAAAACATTTATTTGGCTTGGCTTTTAATGCACAGTAGGGCCTGATGCATTCCTTTTAATTTCCTTTCCATTTTTAATTTATTGAACGTATGTTAACTGTCTCTGTTATTGTGCTGTTTTATTTTTATTTGCACTGATATTATTTACTCTATTTTAGTCATTTACTGTGATTTTATTCAGCCTTTTAAAGTACTTTGATCAGCTGAATGTTGTTTTTAAAGTGCTATATGAATACATTTTGATTTGAATTGATAGGAAATGACTGTTTTGACAACTGGGAATATCTTCTTCTCAAGTGACTGTGCAGTTGTGTTATTGCTGACATGTCCACACAGAGCAGCACCCGCTGCTCGTTGAGGACAGTAACTGCAGGGCAATACGTGCTTTCACGTCAGAGTCTGCAAAACATCAAAACAGTCTCCATTAACACCAGAAAAAAGTCGCTAGATTCGTCGCTAGTCGCTTGTGACAAAAAAAAAAAAAAAAAAAAAAAAAAAAAAAAAAAAAAACTCGCCAAGTTGGCAAAACTGGTGATTTGTTAGTTTTGCATTAGATATGATCAACTCACTAGTATGTTTTTTTTTTTTCTCCCGGTGAAATTCTATATTAATTGCTTAAAGTATATTGTTGGTTATTCGACTCAAAGTAGTTTTGAGACAAATTGAAATAAAATAAATGTTCCGAATTTTTTTCCCGGTACATATTAATGCGTAAAACGCACGTGACCTCGAGAGTAACCAATTATTCGTTTGTTTGCCGCCACATGACCGGAAGCTCAAAATGAAGCGGTTAATATGCAAAAACCTTCATTTGGGTTTTTCTTTGATTTATTGGGCGTATAACGTTAATTAATACATAATGCTACATATTGTGTGATACAGAAAAGGCGCCACTTCGACGTGCAGCAGCAATGAGACGGAAAGTTAAAGGCGAACAGCTAATTCATTAAACCTCGGTGAGAATATGGTTTTAGCATGACCAGAAAGCAGGCTAACTGTTTTCTAACTGATGTTTTCAGACAAACGAACGCTTTCAAACCTTATTTCTGAAGATTTGAACATAATTTTGTATAGGTGAGTTTGTCTGAAATGTCATAGCTACTGGATTTTTAAAGATGGATGACATGGAGTGCTGAACTGTCCTCTGTCACGGTTGGTTCAACTAAAACTACGTTTCTTTGCAGCTGGGGACATGCTGGCATGGCCTTTTAATGTGAGTGGAAATAGACCATCATGGATGACTCGGACCAGGATTTTGTAGATCTCTGCTCAAAGCCGCTTAAACGTGTCCACAAGAAGGCAGCCGAGCCCAGACAGCCAAGGAAAGCAGAGCATCAGCCCCCCAGTCAGGCAGGTGAAGGAGAAGACCAGAGCAGGAGTAACGATAAAAAAGGTGACTCTGGGACCCACCCTGTTAGTGCCCGATCAGAACAGCATGCGGTCAGTGGAGTTACTGGACATGATTCAGGAGATGACGGGTCGTCAGCTGTGCCTTCAGCAGCAAGGCCAAGAGCAAAAGACAGTGTACTTGGCAGAATGCAACAGTTCAAGAGAGCCAGTCCACGAAAGATGGTGCACCAGGACAAGAGCCAGCCAGCAAACGACTGTGTTCCTCTTCAACAGCCACAAATACAAGGTGAGGTGGCATAATGCTTTTGGCACACCTTTCCAACCTGCTACATTCTTTATCCAGTAAGCAGTGGAGATAAATATCTGGTTTATTTCACTACTCTTTGGTTACATTGCTAATGTATGCTTTTGGAAAATATTATGACACAAGGAGAGTATGGTAAGTATTATGAATATGATGGTCAAACATACAGATGCATCTAATGTTGAGTTTATAAAGAATATTGTAAACATCTCATACAATCAAATGTATTAAGTGGAATGCAATTTTTAAAGTTAAATTTGCCATTGTCAGTGTATCTATATTAACAGTGGATCAGATAACATGTAATGCAAAAGGTCCACCCACCACTCTGTGTGCAGCCGAATCCTTCAGCTCTGGTCTTCACCCTGAGCTCCAGGACAGCGATGAGGCTCTGGCCCTGCAGCTGCAGCAGGAGCTGGACCGAGAGGCAGCGGAAGCCCAGATGGTGGATCTGGAGGATGGAGGCCTTTTCTTTTGTCAGATCTGCCACAAAGACCTCTCACACATGACCCCTGAGGGGCGCACCCAGCATCTGAACAGGTCTGGACATTTATATTTATGCAGTAGGCATTCTCATCCAGAGTGATTTGCATCACAAAAATCAATTTGAATTTTTGATTGCACGCCATAGACTGGTGGACTCATTGAGAGTGAAAACAATCCCTGTTTGGTAGGTGTTTAGATCAGAGTGAAGAAAGAACCCCAGCCCCTCCTCCTCCTGCTGCTCCTCCTCCTCCCCCTGGTGTCCCTGACTGTCCCATCTGTGGCAAGAAGTTCAAGTCCCAGAAGAGTCGCTCAGCGCACCTGAAGCGCTGCTCGACAGATATGGGCATCTCTCCGGCTGTGCTGCTACAGGCTCTGCAGAGACAGGCTGAGGAGACCCAGAATGTCCCTGCTGCTAACACACTGTGAGTCCCCATCAGTTGAACCACAAGTTAGTTAAACAGGGAGTTAATATAGATCAAACCCTGTGAACAATTTATATTACATTTTTTATGAATAACAAATAAGAATTTACATAAATACAAATTACATCCTGCACATTCAGTCAGAAGTATCACACGCATAAAGCAAAAGGAAAATACCACAGCACACCTCTGAACATAGTGTCAGTCACAACATTCAATGCACCAGCTCTACAGGCCTTTTTGAGGTATCCAAAATTTGGCCACTGACAGTGACTGTTACCATCCACACAATCCAGGAGAGTGGTTTTGGGGTGCAGGACGATAACATGCCTGCAGCTCGGAGAGATCCAAAATTTGGCCACTGATAGTGACTGCTACCATCCACACAATCCATGTGTGGATCCTGTTTCAACGATAGCTCATCTGATCTTTTCCCGTAATAGGAATCTCTTTTTTCTCTTCAGTTCACAGACCGGAGGCACCAAAAGAAAAGACCCCTCCAAGCCGGGGCTCCCAGCAACAAAAAAGCCCAGGAAGCAGACTGATCGCCTCGACGAAGACACTATGGTGGCTCTGGCTCTGTCCTCCTCTCTGCAGGAGCAGGACAGGAAGGCAGAGAGGCGATTGCAGACAGAGGGGGCTACCTGTCACACCTCCATAACTCCAGTGCTGAAGTGGAGGCCAGACACAGGTACAGCGCTTTCACTATGTCCTATGTGTGCAATAAAGCAGTGTCTACTACTGTCTATTAGACATTTACCATACAAATGTGGAGCAATAACTGGGAAATAAGTGGATTTAGAAGACAGTGGTGCTATTTTTAGGATAGTATTCAAATGTACAAGTGATGAAAGAGAGATTATACTTTAAACACTCAAATTACATACAGATGTGTGGCCATTCAGATCTAGGTAGCACCTGAATCCTCTCCTCTCCTCCTGCAGGTGCAGTTAAAGGGCATGGGAAGAAGAAAAAGGGTGCCATCCCTCGTCCTCTGCCACTCCTCCTTGTTCAGGATGCTCAGATGGCTCTGACCAGGCTGCAGGAGCGTGTTTCTGCTCTCCTTCTACACAGCAGGGCTCCATCTCCCCCCACCCCAATCCTGTGCCCTAGCAGCCTGCCTGGCTGGAGTGGTGCTGCCCCCCTCTGGCAGAAAAGCGCACTGCTGGATGGGGACTCCACCTGTCTGTCTGATTTCTACACTCCAGAGCTCAGGGACTTCATCACGCCGTGGGAATCAGCAGTGGTGAGAGAGACCAAAGAGATGTTTACACACTCTTTTATATTACTTCTGTCGTGTTTGAATAGACTGAATGTTCGGCTGATGTTCTTTTTTTAAATCAAATGCTACTGAAGATTGGGAAACACACCGCTTTGTAGTTCTGTACTGTCCTAGAACGAAACTTTAAAATTTAGCTTTTATTTTTCTGGTCTGAATTCACATTTGATAGACTTAATATGGTGGTGAATTTAGTAGCTTTAATAAAGTGTCTTAACTTTAAAGCAAACCCGTTGAATTTTGGGATGTAGATGCAGTAGAATGTTAACAAATGTCAGTCTAATTAAATTAATTGTGTGTTATGTTAGATTTTGAATGCAAATTTCACTTTTTCACAATAGAATGAAAACATAAAATGAAGTGTAAATATTTTGTCGGCGGTTGAGTTTGAACAAGAAAACAATTGATGAAATTTGAAAGATGTATTTCACTGCATTGTGTGTCAGAGCAATAAAAACATTAATTACAGTTGTGCTGTCTGTTTAAATAGTATTGACAAAATGAACTTGGTATGAAAAAATTTGAGTAATGAATTGTTGTAATTAATTTTCACAATTTCCATTTACAGAGTTGATTTTAGTTGTTTAAATAAACACATTGAATAGTTGACCAAATAGCTGATATCGACTCACGGCTAAGTTAATCTTATGGTGGTCTCCTCCACTTCTAGACGATATCGACTCATGGCTAAGTTAAACTTATGGTGGTCTCCTCCACTTCTAGACTGATGCAGCCTTCTCTAACACCAGCAACAAGCCCGAGTCCTCTGTGCAGCCTGTGAGTGAAGGAAGTCCTGTCACAAAAACAAGGACCTCCATCCTGCCTTCCTCCTCCCAGACTGCTGCTGCCTCCTGCTCCCCAGCTCTCCCCACCCCAGAGACAAAGCAGCTCCCTGTGGGCAGCCAGGCCCTGAGAGACCTGATGGAGCTGGCTGAAGACGGCATGACCCTCACACAGTGCGGCTTCTCTGCCTCTGGCCCTGACAAAGGTAAGACACACAGACTGAACTGCAAAATATTTCTTTACCTTTGGGGAGTTATAACGTGTACCCAAGTAAACAGTACAGACATTCGCAGTGTCTATAGAAAACGCATTGTTTTCATGTTTTATGAAGTGGAAATGCAAGAAATCTTAAACTAACAAAGTGGAAGCAAAACTGACATTAATGGTTTAAGCTGACATTTTAGGCTGCCTTGTTGTTTTTCCTTAAGAATACATTAATATCAACTCGTATAAGTTTGTAAACACTTTGTAAACTGATCCTAAGATCTGGTCCTGGTTGCCTTTGTTCTCACAGACAAGCAGAGCAGTGCTAGCCTGTCCGCAAACCTCCATCTGAGTGGATTTGTCCTGGAGGAGGCGGAGGAGCATGATGACCTCTGGGTGAGCGGCTTCCTGCCAGAGCCGACGCACCCACACTCAAAGGACACCAACAGCCAAGTGAGGAGAGAAACTGGTCAGCCAGGAGCAGATAAGGAGCAGGTAGGATCACCTGAAGTCACAAGAGATCATAAGGGTTCAGATCTTCTCTACATACAGATTTATTAACCTTGGAGTTTTACATATGGATGCCAATTTTCAAATTAAAACACTTTGTAAATTTACTTTGTAGTTCTAACTTTATATAATAAGAAACGTTGAAGTGTGTCTTGACTGGTGTGGCCATTGCAGGTGGCACTGCCCAGACTGGCGTCAGACCTGAGTACCATGGTGAACAACCCTCAGCTCAGTGATGTGGAGCTCCAAGTGGACAGTGGAGACGTCTACTTTGCTCATTCCTTCATGGTGTACACTCGCTGCCCCCTGCTGACAGAAATGGTAAAAATCATCCCCGTGTGTGGCAAAGTCTTGTTGGTTCAGTTTTTGTTTTGCTTTTAAATGAGGTACACAAAAAAATCTGCATAATGTTCTGGTAATAAATGCAGTTTGACTGAAAGCAGACAAATTAAGAGTAGATTTCAGTTCAATTTGCAGATTCCACAAATCATTGCTGAATTTTTTCCAAAGTGTCTCAATTTTTGGGGCCACATTAAAAACAAAGATGTGGCTGTTGTTCAGGTGGATTAAGATCAGGACAACAAGCAGGCCACTTTGGAACACACCAGTGTTTTCTGCTCATCCATTCTTGATGTTTTAGATGTACTCCATGGGTTATTGGAGGAGCCATGAGCTGCTACTGGAACAGAGCTCTCCAACACTGGGAGCTATGTTTCTTTCCTGAATGTCTTGATTATCTTCTGATTTCAATGGCTGTGTTCCATTCACTTCTGCAGGCATGCCGCTTTTTATGTATTGGCAAGGGTGGGGAAACTCATTTAAATGATGTGCAGATGCACGTGAGGCAAGCGATATGACGAGCTCAGCATGAGTCGCGTGTCCTGTCTGCAGAGTTTCTGATTCATAATCAAAAGCTCTGGGCCACTGGGAGGAGATGTTGCCTGCATTTTCTGACCACACAGCGGTGCTGTTCACTGTTCTATCGGACGCCCCGTGATATTTTGTTGATTTTCTGTGGCTTCAGGTCATCACACGTGGCATGTGCCATTTCATGTGCTGAACGTAGACGAAACAGAAACCGTGCCCGTCCAGCACAAACGGGCATAAACCGGCACTGGTAGTCGGGTTTTGGAACCCACCCAATGTGTCCTGCACAGTCGAGGCACCGTGTGCCAGATGCAGTAAGCTGACCCGTAACATAATTGAGCCTCATCCATGTTTCACACTGAGGATGGTGTTCTTGTCTTTGAAGGATGTTTTTGTTTTGTTCACTGTGAACTGATGTGACAAAAAAGTTCTCATTTCATTTCATCTTCCTGACATTTTCCCAGAGGCATTGTGGCCTGTTAACAAACAGTTTAGCAAACTCCAGTTAGTTTTTTATGTTTTCTTTCAAAAGTGTCTTCTTCTATGAAGACCACTTTCATTCAG